TTGGTGTTCATAAAGGGATTTTTACTTCCAAAAAACCGGTTTGACCAACGCCCTCCGAAAACCCGTTGCTGAAGCAGTTTCAAAAAAAAATCTACTGTTTTTCCTTCAATGCAAGGGCCGTAAAAACCTCTCCATCCTGAATGCAAAAACGTCCCCTCTGATGATTTTAGGTATAATCCCTGGGCTGAAGCTGGCGTTATTCCCCCACTGAGAATTCAACGTCAAACATTTGGTTGATCCTGGTTCTATAACTGAACGGCATTTTTGACTAATGGTATTCTCCTGGGCTGAGGGGCAGGGGCCCGCGACAAGCACCACCTCACACTACTGCATAAAGGGAACCCTAAAAGTGCTTTTGGGGGCAGGAGGTCCACCCCGGGCCCCGAGAGCAAAGGCAAAACAAGGGGACTGTTTATTTTTACTTTTAACGAACAAACATTTTTTTGGAAAAATTCTTTCAACTTGTGGGTTTTTTCCGAGCCATTTTCTTTAAAAAAACACAGTTTTCCCTTTCTTTTTTTATTTATTTTTTTTATTTCTATCACGGAGGAGCATTATTTCCCCGTAGGGGACATAAGGGGCCATAGTAAAAAGGGTGGGGGCAGTCAAAGAAAAGAGTCAATTTTCCCTTTTTTTTTTCATTTAAACCAAACGTCATTTTTTTTTTTCGATTCAAGGTTTTTTTTACCCTTAATTTTAACGGGTGCAAAGCCACACTGACGCATGAAAATTTGAACAAAAAAAATTTTTAATCATAATAAAATTTAACACAGATTTTAAACCCGTAAGGTCAGGGGTTTTACCTTGAAGTAAAATATATTTGCTTTCTACATGACTCAATACTGCAGCTGTTTTAAATTAAAATAAATTTCCCACAATAATTTTTTAAACTTGAAAAAAGAATTATCCGATTTTCATCTCAAAATTAAAATTTTGTAAAAATAAACAAATATTTTTTTATCGGGGTTTTTGGATCCCTTGATTATTTTTTTAAAAATTTTAAAGCAAATAGTTGAGTTTTTTTCCGATTAACCAGGATTCGAACCCGTTGTACGGGCCCTTCCAAATTAAATTTTAGAACCACAGGGACATTTTAAAACCCAAACAGACCACCCAACCCTACAAGAATGGCGAAAGCCACAGATTAGCGGGTTTGCCCCCATGGGAGGACTTTACGGAGGTGGGAGCTTCTAATCTAATTTCATTCTCACCCCCTTTTTTGGTGTACAAGCCTGCACTCTCGGGTTTTGGCCCCATTCTTGTTAGGTTTGATGGCCTGGGGGTTTTAAAACGTCATGTGGTTCTCCCTTACCATGGGCGGGGCCAGAAAAACATGGTTCGAATACTTGGCTAGAGCAGTTTTTCTTTTTTTGATCAAAAACCTTTCGCCCGGGGTTTTACAATAAATATAAAAAACGTTCGTGAGGTTTAGTAAAACCAAACAGGGATGAAAATTTAAATTATTTTAGAAGCTCCCAGGAGACCCCCAGGCAGTAGACTCCCCTGACCACGGGTAAGACCCTCCAGGCAGGTAAAACCACTGACCCCACAATAGACCCTCCGGGCCAGGTAGACTCACTGAACCCCAGGTAAAACCCTCCCAGGCAGGAACTCACTGAAAACCCAGGTGGACCCTCCGGGCAGGAAACTCACTGCCCAACCCAGGTAACCCTCCAGGAAGGAAAGACTCACTGACAACCCCCGGGTAAACCCTCCAGGCAGGTAGACACACTGACACCCGGGTAAAACCCCCCCAGGAAAGGTAACTCCAGACCCCGGAAAACCCCTTTAAAGGCACGTAGCCCTCCCCTGACACCCAGGTAACTCTCCAGGCAGGTAACTCACTGCACCCGGGTAAACCCCCGGGCAGGTAGACTCACTGACACACGGGTTTAGACCCACCCCGGGAAGGTAACTCCTGCCACCCAAATAGACCCTCCGGGCAGGTAGACTCCGGGTACACGGGAAACCCCTACAGGAAGGTAGACCAATGACAAAAGGTAGACCCCCCACAAGTGCCCTCACTGACAAAACGGGGTAAACCCCTCCGGGCAGGTAAACTCCACTCCCACCCAGGTAAAACCCCCCCAGGCGGGTAGACTCACTGACACACAGGTAACCCCCAGGCAGGTAGACCACTGACACCCAGGTAACCCTCCGGGCAGGAAGCCCTCACTGCCCAACCCAGGAAAAACCCTCCGGGGCAGGTAATTTCACTAAACACCCAGGTGGGACCCTACAGGCAGGTAGACTCACTGCCACCCGGGTAACCCTCCAGGCAGTAGATTTCACTGACACCCAGGTAGCCCCCGGGCAGGTAGCCCAAATTTACACACAGGTAAAAACCCCTCCGGGGCAGGTGACCAACTGCACACAGGAAGACCCTCCGGGCAGGTAACCCCTCCCGGGGACACCCGGGTTTAGACCCTCCCAGGCGGGTAGACTCACTGACCCCCCAGGTAACCCTACAGGCAGTAGCCCAAAACTCCCAAACCCAGAAGACCCCCCCCCAGGAAGTAGACTCAACTGACACCCGGGAAAGCCCCTCCAGGCAGGAAAACCTCACTGACACACGGGTAAAAACCCCCAGGCGGGTTTAAAACTCACTACCCCACAGGTAAAACCCTCCAGGAAAGGTAGACTCTCTGACACCCAGGAAGACCCTCCAGGCAGGTAGCCCCACTGACACCCATTGACCCTCCAGGCGGGTAGACCCACTGAAGAAAGACAGCATATATCGGGTGACAACCATTTTTTCTTTATCTTTCCCAATTTAAAAATTGTAATATATCCGCATATAATAAAATATCTAAAACTTTTTACCTTTTTTTTCTGGTAAAAAAAAATCCACACAAAAAAAAAATCTTGTTAATTATCTAAGGTAAGAAAACAAAAAACAAAAAAGAAAAATTTAAAAAATAAATTTAACCTGCTTGAAAAAAATTATTACAAAAAAATCAAAAATATTCCATCCCTCCCTTTAAAAAATTTTATTAAATTTTAAAAACACGTTTTCTTATGCCCTCCCACGAAGCCCCTTCCCCCCTTTAAACCCTTCTTGAAATCACTTAAAAAACAAATTTTCTTAACAGAAAAAACTCGCTAACTTCTAGTATGCAAATATAACAAATTTTATATATTCATGATATAAAAATTTCAAAAGGGTTTCAAAAGTTCCCTTTTTGCTACTTAGATAGGAGTTTTTAGTAACAATTTTGGAGTTTTGGAAAAAATTAACAATTGACTTTTCAAAAAGGGACAAAAAATGGAATTTTTTTACTGCCATAATTGCAATAGAAAATTAAGTTTCCCAGGGGGTCGTTATTGTTAACCCTTTGCAATAAAATAAATATGAACCTGAAAGGGGCATTGTAATGTAGTTCGTAGATAAGTACATCAACTGTGTTAAAGTTGTACCAAACCGGACCTTTTTGGTTTCGTTACATTTACTGCTGAAAACAATAACAACAAGATCAAACTAAAAATACAGTTAACAACAACCCTATGGTCACCTTCCCCGAACACTGACTTGACTGTCTACATAATTAATAACATTGTGAAAAAAAAAGTCCCGAAAAATAGATCCCGGAGCCACAAAATTTTTAAAAATACCCGGGCGTTCTTTTTGTTAACCCCCTTTTTAACCCTGGAAATCGAGCTGTTTTTGTATCCATATGCCTTTCAAAACCCCCTTTAAATAGGATTTAAAGTACATTAAAGTAACTCTTTGGATTCAAAATCTAAATACAGTGGAACCTTGAAAATCGAAACGAACCCAAAAATCGAAAGTTTCGAAAATAAGACCATTTTTTTTGGACAAACTGGGGAAACCAAAAAAACGGGAAACCCTTTCCAAAATTTTGGACCCGCCGGGTAAAGGGACCTGTCCGCGGCCAGCCTGTCCCCCATTCACACTTTTTAAAGATTAAATTTTGTTGTGTTTAGTACTTGTGGGCTGTGAAATAAGCGCCATGGGCCCAAAAAACTTGCTACGGTACCCCTTTGGGGAAAGAAGTGAGAAACACCATTTAAAGTGAAGAAATAAATAAAAACAGAAGTAAGAGAGTGGGGCGAGAAAATTTTTGAAAATTGCCAGGATGTAAAAAGAGGGGCTGTGGGCAGTTTTTTTTGTGAGACAAAACCGAAAGACTGTGGACAGTTTTTTTTTGTGAGACGAAAAAGAGGACGTGGACAGTTATTTTGTGAACAAAACAGAGGAAATGTGGACATTAATTTTTTGTGAGACAAAACGAGGGCTGTGGACAGTTAATTTTTGGGGAGACAAAAACAGAGGACCGTTTGACAGTTATTTTTTTGAGCAGAAACAGAGGACTGTAGACCCGTTATTTTTGTGAGACTGGGGGCCAATGACTCCAGATGGGCCCTCACCAATATTCAATAAAAGGGGAAGTAAAATGTTTTTCTATATTAAAAATACATAATTAAAGACAAAAACAAATTTTTTTGTATGTATGAAAAAATGGGAATTAATCTCTATAAAAAAGATTAATTTTGTGAATATTTTTGGGTTTTTTTTGAAACGGATTTAAATTGTATTTCCATTATTTCTTATGGGAAATATTGCTTCGAATTTCAGACTTTTCGAATTTAGAACTAACTCCTGGAACGGATTAAGTTCGATTTTTGAGGTTCAAATGTAAGTAATTTTACTATTATATTTCGCAGTAGCAGTCTCTGTAATATATAGCTAATATAACAGAAAAAATTTAGGACAGTAGCAAGCATGTACAATACATTTTGTTTGTATATCTTGACAGTTTTTATTCTTGCAGGGATTGTGTGATGCTTTAAGGTCTCTAGAATACATGAACTGAGAAAAATCTATAGCAAGGTTAACAGATGTATATTCTCTCCTACCAGACCTTAGAGTAGAACATATGTCATGCTACATGCAGGGCGCAGGGAAGTGATAATGGGAGTGTATGTGTGTCAGAAGTGAGATAATATGACTGAAGATGGTGGAGATAAGGTTTGTCCCAAGATAATAACCTACCAGCTGGGTATAAATACTGCTTCACTCCGCCACCAGCCAGGCAACACAACCTGTCACCATGATAAACTTCTTGTTCTTGTTGTTGCTCCTGGGTAAGTAACAACTGTGGTCATTATATATATTATGTATGTATATATATTGTATATAATCTACTGTCTTCTAATATATCTTAGAATCTGTATTGATCAAGCCACAGGATGGCAAAACGTCTACAATAAAGATAGCCAGAAGTTGCACGTGTCTTAACTTTCATTATTGCTTGCAAATGAAATTAGGGCTTTAAGTTCATGTGTCACTGCTTGTCAATATACTGGTAACGGTTTGGTCCTTGCTGGACACTGCTTACTGGTTTGCTGGTGGTCGTCGTTTCCACATTTGTGTCCCCTTTCTTCCTTGGAAAGTTACCTTTGATCCGTACTGTCTTTAGACAAATGGTGTCGGTTCACTGAGACCACATGAGGATCTTGGACATGAAATATGTATCCCAGGTTAAAACTTTTACTTTCTACCCTTGAAAGGCAAAAGTGCGTGGGGTTTTTTTTTAGATTTTATTTGAAACAATACTGCTTAAAATAGCCTCAAAAGACGAGTAAGTTTTACAGTAAAATGTCGTGGAAATACACTACGTTAATTTTGGGTACTACAAGCATATCCACATCCCAGCAATTCCTTTGCAACAGTGTTAAACAAGTGACCACTGATTAAAAACATTACATCCCACCAACATTCTTGCGTTATTGGATTTAACATAAGGCAACCTAAAAATTAAATATTCATTTAATATTTATTATTTTACAGATTGAATAAACCAGGACATGTATGATGAAAAAACCATCACGAATATTTTATATTTCTTGTAAAAAATTACATAGTCTAAAAGCAAGCAAATGATAGCGCAAAACTGGAGAAAAAACACTAGACCTCAATTACAAATAACTTAACAATGTTTTGCAAATCTGATAGAAATGTCTCAAACATATTCAAAAACAAATACTACAGATAAACAGACCTAATTTGAGTACATGACATTATGCGGAGCCCCAGACCGACAAAATGCAAGTACTGTCACGAGGAGCATTCACCAAATTCAATTCAATAACAAAAATAAGTGGACCAATAAACCAAGTCCTAACCGATAAGCTGGAGATATACAAGCAACAGACCCAAACTTATGCCAACAGTTACTCGTGGCACTCATGTATGCACAAGGCTTTCCTCAAAAAAAGGAGGAGTAGATGTAAAATAGAAAAGACAGGCCTCCCTTTACAGGCGACGGAAAAGAATAACAGAGCGGCTAAAGAGGTCAATATATCTGAAATGCGCAGGGAGACACTGGTCAGAGAAATAGCAAGCATCGAACTTAAGCTAAAAGAAATCCTTTAGGAGTCAGAATGCGGAAGAACTAAAAGCTTAAATGAAATCGAAAGAAACCCAAAGTATTTCTTCTCCATCCCAAATCAAACGAGAACAACGCCCATATTGGGCCCCTACTTAAACAAGAGGGGGTCCTACACAATGAAGAAGGGAAAATGAGTGAGCACTCAAGCCCCAATATGACTCAGTTTTTAGCAAGCCCTAACCAGACAGAGTCAAGATCAAAAAAATTTTTTTTTATGAAGAGCCACAAAATTTGATTAACACAACCCTATTGATGTTATCCTGACGCCAAATGACTTCGAACAGGCGATAAATGACATGCCCATGCCCTCCCCCAGGGCCAGACTCGGGAACTCTGTGTTCACAAGAATGCAAGAAGCCCCTATCACGACCCTTTTTTCCACCTAGGAGGGGGAGCATGGACAGGGGGGTCGTCCCTCAGTTACTAAAAAACAACAGACATACCCCACTCCACAAAGGGGGGCAGTAAAGCAACACAAAAACTCAGACCAATACCCCTAACACCCCTATCAAAAAATCTTTGAAAGGGTCCTAAGAAGCAAGATCCCCCCCACTAGAAACCCATCATTTACAAAACCCCCGGGCAACATGGGTTTAAAAAGGGCGCTCCTGTCTGTTAAACTATGGACACTACGACAAGGTCCAAATGCACTAGAAGACAAAAAAATGCAGATGAAAATATATACAGTTTTGCAAAAGCCTTCGACAAGTGTGACCATGGCTAATAGCGCACAAAATGCCGCTAAAATAAAAGGGAAAAGTCGGTCGTGGATCTAAAATTTTCCCACAAAAAAACCAGAGAGTAGTCGCAACAAGTAAAGTCCGAGGAAAGCTACGGTGAAAAGCTCTGTTCCACAAGGCACAGTATAGCTCCCATCTTTTTTCCTCCCCTCATATCCGACATAAAAAGGATGTCAGCCACAGCCCCGTGTCTTCCTTTTTTCAGATGACACCCGAATCTGCATGACATGTCTTCCATTGCAGAACTGCAAGGCTCCAGGCGGCATAAACCAAATTTTTCAGGGGGTGCGAAAACTATAAGTTCAAGATGAAAATTTAAATTTACCAATTGGTAAACATGGGGAAAATTTTAAATCTTCATCAGAGTAAAAAACAAATTCTGGCCACAAAATAGAGCGAAACACCAACGTCAAAGACCTGGGAGGATTATGTCGGAGGATCCACCTTAAAGGGCCCATAACATTGTATCAATCGCATCTGCTAAAAAATACAGGATGGAAAGGGAAACCTTCAAAAATGGGGGGGCCAAGCCCATGTGAACTTTCGGGTCCTTGTTCTATCGGGCTGAATATTTGCACTCTAAACGCCCCTTTAAAGGGCAGGTGAAATTCCCGACCTAGAAAATGTACAGAAACTTAAAGGCGCGCAAACGGAGAAAAAAAACACCTCAATTACTGGAGCGCTTGAGGTTTCTAAACCTGTATTCCCGGGAACGCAGGGGGGAGAGTCATGATTATATACACCTGGAAAACCCTAGGGGGACTAGTACCAAATTTTTTGCACACGAAAATCATCACTACGAAAGCAAAAGACTTGGCGACGATGCACCTTTCCCCCAATAAAAGCGGGGGTGTCACTAGCACTTTAAGAGACCATACAAAATGTCAGGGGCCGAGACTTTTTAAACTGCCCCCCCAGCCACAATAAGGGGATTACCAACAGACCCCTGGCGTCTTCAAGCTGGCCGGGACAACACCAAAATCATTCCTGATCACCCGGGGCTGTGGCTCGTACGTTGGTTTGCTTTTGCAGCCACAGCAACAGCCTGGTTGATCAGGCGCTGATCCACCAGGAGGCCTGGTCACAGACCGGGCCGCGGGGGCATTGACCCCCGAAACTCTTTCCAGGTAAACTCCAGGTAAACACTGTGTCTTAACACTGGAGATGGTCTGATCTTTGGATGTCACTGTCTTTAGTACTTTGGTGTCTGGTTCATTTATTTTTTTATATATTGACTGTGGTTTGGTACATGACTTTGTATCCTGGTAAAATTTTACTTTCCTATCCCTTTTAAAATTTTCTAACAATTTCTGGAAGATTTTTTTTTTTAGATTTTATTTAAAACAATACAATACATTAAATAAATAAAAGAACACAGTATCAGTTCTTCCACAGAATTATAAATTTTCATTGTGGAAATACACTGGACGTTTAACTTTGTGCTGACACAAATTGTCCCTCATCCCCTATGCATTATATCCCTTTGCAACTATGTTAATACAAGATGACACAAGATTATACATTACATCAACCAAAATATTTACAATATGCGTTATTATTATTATAAATAAAGAGAAGCGCTAAACCTACAATATCCATTAATTTTTCACTTTTATTTATATTTTATTAATCCTTCATACAGAATTGTACATAAACAGGTACATGTATAACAAAGAAACCAAACACGAATTTTTTTTGTATATTTTATTTAAAAGACATACATAGTACATAAAAGCAAACGACAAATTGCATAGCGAAAACGGTGGTTAAAAAAAAACCAATACACACCTCAATTACAACAATAAGTCTTACAATATATATTGCAAAATTCTGCATAGTACATGTACTTTCCAATTAACATATTACATCTGAAAGACACAAATCTGAACAGTAAACAATGACCGCTCCAATCCTTGAAGTAATGACATTATGTCTGGAACACTAAATCTAACCTAAAGACTCCTTGGCAAGTACATCTCATTCCTGATTGTACATCCTGCCACGGAATGTACACCTTACATTGTACATTCCGAATGTCACCTTCATTGTACATCCGCCACGGAATGTACACCTACATTCTGAAAACACTACCCCCCCCCTTTATGCGTGTCAAGCCACCTGACACGTAACAATCTTTATATGTAACTTTATATTGTATGAAATACTTGCATTATTCCATACTGAACAATATGATATGTTCAGTATCACTCAATATAATGAGATAATATAAAAATCAATCTACATAATTCATGTACAACGTATATCTACTAAACACCCAAACATATCACCTTCTCCAGGAAGGTATAATTATATACATATGTTACATACACTTTACAACACAACCAGTGAAACAACAAAAACCTAATCCTATATCATCCATCAAATACCATACAATATATGTCATCTCAAAGGTAACCTAAACCTACGGGCTCTATAGAGCTCCCATGAAAAAATAATATATAATAAAAACACAAGATGAGTCAAGCTTTTCTAAAAATATTTCGCCCATATCATTAAAACCACTACTAAGATGTAAGTCTGTTAGCACAAAACATAACAGTGCATGACCTTCACACGTCGATAAATACTGAAGCCTTCCTACCACACGCAATACTTCATGTGTATATATATATTTCGCATTCACACAGTGCACCCACATTGTCATTTCATTACACACATACCAATAATTTCGTTGCAGATATATAATATTCCTTCACACTACGACGTCTGTCGTCCTTTGTCAATTGCATATTTAATAATTAAATTGAAGAACTTGTATAGTTCACAACACACAACCCGCTCATCACACAGTCAAAGGCACTTAAGGTCTCAGTACTATATTCATTCTCTTCCACACTAAACCCTTTCACACTGTCCTTATCGGGAAGCCAGCCCGCCGCGACCCCTTACCTTACACGTAAATCCCATAAATCCCTCAACCTAAAACTCCGAT